TAGGGGCCTATGGGTTCAACCTTAGAGTTTAAGAGCGTACCTGAACCGTAGGAAACTACTTCCTTATATAGGCCCTTGTCAAGGTAAGCTTTTGGGCCTACGGGACCCTTGCACTAGCCTATGAAGCCCGAAAAGAAACCTCAAGAATCCCCTCAATTACTTGCTCAGGGTTCAGGGCTTCGGTGGGGACTAAATCCCGAAACACCCCAAAGCCTAAAGTCCAAAACCCTCAAGCCCCTAGCCGCCCTAGCCCCTGACCCTGAACCTGAAACTGCCCTAAGCCCTAAACCNNCTAAACCCTAAACCTTAAACCGTTCCAAGACGCAATTCCTCCAGATCCTTCGTCTGCAACACCTCGCGCACGCAGTTCACCACGTAGTAAAGCCGACCTTTTGCTTCGCTTTTGGGTTCTCCTTCGGTTTAGGGTTCAGGGTTTTAGGGTTTAGGGTTTCAGGGTTAAGGGTTTTAGTGTATTAGGGTTTCAGGGTTAAGGGTTTTAGGGTATTACGGTTTCAGGGTTAAGGGTTTTAGGGTATTAGGGTTTAGGGTTTAGCGTTTTAGGGTTTAGGGTTTAGGGTTTTAGGGTTTAGGGTTTCAGGGATTAGGGCTCAGGGTTTAGGATTTCAATGTTTCAGGGTATTAGGGTTGAGGGCTTTGGGATTAGGGTTTTTTGGGTTCTCCTTCGGCTTTTTTCACAAGGTCCTACAGAGCTGCCTTTAAAGGATCCACCCTTTTCTGGGTTCTGTCAGGGCCTTGTAAAGGCTCGAGTTCTGTAAGGGTTCCCTAGCCGACAAAAAAAAGATCAAACTTCTATGAGGGTTCCCCTAAACCCTAAACCCTAAACCCCAAACCCTAAACCCTAAACCCTAAACCCCAAACCCTACACCCTAAACCCCAAACCCTAAACCCTAGTAGATTGGTCTTTCTGGCTCTTTGGAGGTCGTCTGTCGGGTTCTGCTTCGACGTTTTGGTCTGAAAAGGTGGAGGGCTGACAAGTTTAATGCAGGGTTTAGGGTTTAGGGGTTAGGGTTTAGGGTTTAGGGTTACGGCTTCGAGGTTTTACGGCTTAGGCGTAGGGTTTCGGGCTTTTGCGGTGTGGATTGAGGACGCTGAAATTCCAAGGGTCTTTTGCAAGAGTTCTTCCTGCGACATGACCATCTCGCACAGACAGAGCTTTTTGAAGAATATCCAATTTCTCCTTGGTTTAAAAACCCTAAACAGCAGCCCAGGAGAATTGCATTGAAGGCAAAGGGTTGACGTGCGCAGGCTTTAGAATATGAAGCCGGGTATCTGCTGTTGGGCTTAGGGTTTAGAGTTCAGAGCTTTCTTTGCAGTCATTGGCAATGCCCCTCGGGGAACGGGCGCATACCACGGGGCTGTCCATGGCACGACTGAGGCAAGACCATTGTGCGTGTCGCGCAAGCCAGCACAGAGCCTTGATGGAAGACTGGGCCGACGGCTGATGGATCTCTCTATATTGGCCCTGCGAGGCTCTAGCCGCTGCCAACAAGACGAGAAGCTGAGCCAGCCAGACATCATCCGAGCCCACGGCCGAGCTGTGCAAAAAACAAAATGAGGGGACTTAATTATTAGACTAGAGTTCGGCTGTATTTCATCATATCGAAATAATGAGACAACCTAAGAACAGCTATAATTATTCCAACTCCTATCTTGCGTTGCAAGTTGCAGATCACTTGCAGCTCGTGCTATGTGGACGTGCATCCGGCAGGATTGCCCACTGCTGAAGATCGGGCAGACGACTGCAAGAAAAAACAAGAACGAAACCTTAGACCCTAAACTCTAAATCCAAGACCCTTAAGGCCAAACAATAAACTCTAATCCCTAAACTCTAAACCCTAAACTTCCCACCTGTACTACGCCCCCTGCTACCTACCCACCGAAGTGGTGGCAGCAACCTCGGGGGAAGCTCCAAAAGACATTGCTCCGTTGGCAAACCTAAGGTAAGGGCTTAAATAATGCAGTAAGGTATTGGGGTATATTCTAGCATGAGGGACTACTCCAAACCCCATTTCTTAACTGGGAGAAAGCTACTACTTAAGGATTCAGACCCCTATATTCGCAACATTGGGCTCTGCAAAGTCCGCGAAGAGCCGCTTGGAGGCTTGGCGCTCGTAACACAGGTTCACGCTTTAGGGCGTAGGGTTCAGGGTTTAGGGTTTAGGGTTCAGGGTTCAGGCCATCATTCATGTGCCAGCAACATCAAACCAAGAACCAGAATGCCAACTGCCACTACAGACAAAACCAGAACCAGAACCATAACAAACCGAAGGCGAAGAGCTATCCACAACCACGGGGCCGAAATGCTTTTCCATTTACCACTTCTAGCCTACAGTGCCAGAACTTTAAACCCAGAATCAACGAAACCACAAGACCAAAAACCAGTAGATCTCCAAACTAGAAACCCTCAAAAACCATAAAGAGCTGTCTGTACCACAGAATGACAGAAAGCCCTGGTGCACAAAAGCCCGGAACCCCAAACCCTAAACCCTAAACCCTAAACTACACTCCAAACCCCTAAACATCCCTAAACCCGAAACCCTAAACCCCTAAACCCTCAACCCTAAACCCCAAACCCTAAAACCCTAAACCCCAAACCCTAAAACCCTAAACTCATTAAACTCAGCGCCCAACCTTCCGTCTGCCTCGGTATCTCTCTCTCCAGTAGGAGCTCATCCAACTCTTCCCTCCAATCCTCGCTGTACTCAAGCTCCACCTGGGCTTCGGGACTTTCCGGGTTTAGGGTTTGGGGTGTCGAAGCTTCGGGCGTAGGACTTTCGGATAGGGTTTAGGGTTTAGGGTTTAGGGTTTAGGGTGTTTTGGGGTTTAGGGGGGTGTGGGGCTTACCGTTTGGTGTAGGCTGCTTGAACCGCTGCACTGTACCATCGACGACTTGCGGAGTGAACTACTGCTGATAATATGAATTCTGAGTTGCCTTAAGGACCCTAGACTATGGGAAATATGGCGTATTCCTTATTCTGGGTAATGCAGGATTTATATCATCAACCGTAGCCTAGAAAGACTTTGGGGCTTAGGGTTTAGGATATTGTTTAATCGTAGTTTAGGGTTTAGGGTTTGGGGTTTAGGCTTTAGGGAGGGTTTGTTTGGGTTAAGATTTAGGATTCAAGGTTTGGGGGGGGTCATTTCTGTTTTGTCGAAGTTCACAGCGATGCTACCTCTGCCTTTGCATTGCGAGGGTACTCGTCTAGCACTCAGGAAGATCCGATGAGACCCCGGAAACCGAAAAAAAACCTGCAACTGGAAAGCCGCCAAGAAAGAATCGGAACCTAACGCCTCAAAGAAGAAACTAGAGTTTAGGGTATAGGGTCAAGCATATCAACAGAATAACAGAACCCCAGAACGTTGAACAGCTACACCCGGAAGTGCTTCAAAACCCTAAACCCAGAACCCGGAACCTTAAACATCTAAACCCTCAAACCGTGAATCCCAAAGCCCAGAACACAACCAAACGCCGAACCCCAGAAGCAAACAAAAATCCTAAACCCTAAACCCCAAAACCCCTAAACCCTAAACCCTAAACCCTAAAACCCCCAAACCCCTAAACCCCTACTTCTGGGTAGTTCTCTAAATTAGGGTCCCGTTTGGGGTCCTTCTTACAAGGTGCCGTACTATATTGGGGACCTAAAAGGGAACCTTAATTTAGAGAACTACCCTTCTATAGAACCCTGAAATTACCTGTAGAGAAGCGTCATACCCAAACAGGCTCTAACAACCCTCAGGGCGTGGCCAGTCCGGTGAACGCGGAGGGACCGGGCTCCTGGCAGGGTGATCCTCACCACTAGCTTAGGTTTCTCCTTCTTTGAAAGCTCCTCTTCAAGGGTTTAGGGTTTAGGGTTTAGGGTCAAGCTGATGGCTGATGACATTGTTGATACTGATGACGGCTGCTCTTGCGGTTGCAGTTGCGCAGTTGAACGGCATGACCGCTGTACGGCATGACCATAAGAGTACTTAGATGAATGACGCATACCATCCGCAAGCAGCTAGAAACAGCCGGCATTGTTGATGATATCCATACTAAATCGAAAGGTCAGTAAAGTAAACTAACAATAGGAGATAGAGATACCGGGTAGGCATGAGACAGAATTGCAGCACCCCGTATCCTGAACAGTGGAACCACGAAATGATCAGAGCTCCCAACAGCCTGACAAAAACGAATTGGAATCCCCCAGTCGCGCCCCGCAAGCAAGGAGAAAAGCTCAAAACCCTAAACCCTTGAGGGTTTAGGGTTTAGGGTTTGGCCCTAACCCCTGAACCCTAAAGCCTAAACCCGAGAAAGAAGAGCAAGGAGGGACCCACCGTAAACCCTAAACCCTGAAGCGCAGCGAAGGAAGAACAAGGAGGGATCCAGGGATTCTGTCGTTTTCGCAACACAGGACCTGTCCCCCCGAAGCCATGCAAAAGATGTAGGGGCCTTAATAATTCGAAAAGG